GGTATGCTTTATTATATATATTAAATACACATTTATTTTCAGATTAATTTTACTAAGCTTTGAAAATAAACCCATGTGTTTGCTAAAGCATAAATTTCCCCCACCTTTTCTCATGCTTCAAAAGCAGTAACCTTGTCTTCAGTTAATGGAGGCAGAAATTACCTTCCAAAAAGTTATTGGAACTAATGACTGCAATTTCATACTGTTCCACAAGTCATGGTGCTGTTTCTTCTTGCTCTAATGAGCAACTAACTGCAACTGCTTGTTTTGACTGCATTAAGAAGCCATTTACAAGAAAAGGTTTCTCTTTAATAATTGAAACAGAATTCCTTCACTGGGAACTTCTATGAGATAGTCAAACACTAATGAAGACATTAAGATAACTACTTGTTTATTGAAATCAGGCACAAACAGTTAATTATGGAGCATATCAGAAGTGTAAATAACCCTTCAAATTATGTCTTAGGTGCAAGGTAGCCACAGATCAACATTCAATTTATAGGAAAAGGTATTCAGTGTTTGTAACCATGAACGTGTGTGTTGGGGTAGCTTTGCAATACATAAAAGGATGTAGAAGTTTTAAGGTTGTTTAAATGAACATGCTTTCAAAATGGCTTTGTAACTCTGTGTAAACTCCCCCTTTTCTTCTTCCCAAGGTTCCCCAGTGTTACCTATACCTTTGGAATGTTCTAAGAGATAACTGAGAGCTTACCTGTTGGTTGTTAACCCCTTATTGCCACTGGTTGTTTGTAAGACCTCCTGAACCCTCACTGGTCACTTTGTAATCCCCCCAGGAGGAGTTTAAGTCGCTATCCAGATCAATAAATGCTCTCTCTGCCTTGCTCCCTGCTGCTGAGACCACATGGGGAGGGGGAAGGGGAGGGAGCACCTCCCCCTCCAAGACTAGGGGTAAAAGGAAAATCCTCTAGCCTGGGGTCCCTCTCCCTAACCACCCTCAGCATTCATCACTTGTGTACATCAGACACAGGCTACAGTCATGTTCTTCATTTTAGGGACGTGTTTTGGTAGTGGACTGGAATGTGTGAGGTTAATGGTTGGACACGATCTTAAAGGTCTTTTCCAACCTAAATGATTCTATGATTCCCTGATTTTCCTATCTACTTGTTGTTTTTTCTCTCTTTGCATACCACAATGGAAGTTGTGCTACTTTTTCTTTGTCACCTAATGTCAGATATTCAATTTTCTGAAAAAGCTTAAAACTGTAGGTACATGAAACACTTCTCCATCACCAATCAAAAGAGTTAATGTGTAATGGCAATCACAAATACTTTTTCTTAACTTCTCTGGAACAAATATTGTATCTTATCTCCCCTGCCTTGTATGAGATAAATGAAGAAAGAACCACATTCCTTGGCTGCCCTTGGCTGTCTCCACTTTTAGACAATTACAATTTAATTGACTAAAATTAGATGGAAGACTTCTACAATCTAATAAAGATTAGCATGGTAGGTGATAATTTTTCTTAAATACTTTGTATTACTTGTAATTACATTTTCAGGCCAAGTTTTCAAAAAATATTTGTCTATTTGAAGTTTTGAGAATTAGTTATATGGTACTACTGGATGGAGAGAAAAAAAAAATCAGAACTCAAATCAAAGTCCTGAATAACTTCTTTAGTTATATGCCATGTAAAATACTTTTTGTTCTTAATTTTCACCCACCAAAACAATTTCCTTGGCCTGTGAGGCCAAAGAGATAGGCAAGCAGCTATCCCTGGTTATAGAACATGAGAAGGAAGCATACTGGGTTGAAAACCAGAATTTATATTAAAAAAAAATCACAACTGCAACTTTCACTACCAAAGAATAATTCTCTCAAAACAGTAATGCATCCAAGTGGTGTGAAACTGATGCAAAACACTGCAGATTAAATGAAAATTTGTATTTTTACAGAGATTTGGCTTATTTGGCATCTCCAACAATTTAATTCACCCTCACATTCTTTTTCAGCAGCAGTGCTGTGAAGATTTATCCCATGCATATCATCTTCCTTATCTAGTCCTCATCTATACTGTTCTCCTGGTCTCCACCATTCTCCCCTCTTTCATATCAGAAAATCCAGCTGAAACAGCTAATCCCAATTGTTTCTGAGCAGTGCTTTTTCTCCCAGAGTTTTGACCAATGATCTTGTGTGTTTAGGATTAAATTTTAAATTAAAAATATTTTAAAGACATGTTTGCAAGATAAGCTCCTGCAGTCTTTCAGCTTGTGTCTATAGCTTGGAACCTGATGAATGACTGCATGTTCATTACTACTGTGAATCCCTGTGCCAGAATTTATATGGTAGCCTAAAAAATTATGGAAGACCTAAGCACAAGACAACTCAGCCAAGGAGCTAATTATACAAATGTGCTACTGTGAGATGGCATATTCACCTTTCCTGTATCTTCAGCTGCTTGTGCCTGAGTCACACAGATTCAGCCCACTGTTTGCTGCAGGTGGACACCATCACATGGAAACATTAACAAACCATGCTGCTGAAGAGCACCAGAGGCAAAAGCCTCATAAATCCACTCAGAAGGGCATTTCTAGAGTTTAACTTCAAGATACGTCTGTGCTAGCTCAGCCCTGGAGGACTGACACTGAGACCAATGAAGTTTGGGCTGTTATGGGTTGCACAAGAACAAGCAGAAAGTATAATTAGTTCTTCACAAGCCCAAAGCAGGCTGCATTAGTCATGGTATCTATTCAAAGACAGGAAGATAAATTTCATGGGTGTTCAAAACCTCCATGAGAGCAACTAAAGGCTGTGCATGACAAGCCTTGTTCCCTCTGTCTTTTTTATTGCCCAAAAAGGAGGGTCTGGAACATCAGTCCTACAAGGAGCAGCTGAAGGAGCTGGGGTTGTTTAGCCTGGAGAAAAGAAGACTCGGTGGAGACCTTATTGTTCTCTGCAACAACCTGAAAGGAGGTAGGGATTGGTCTGTTCTTCCAGGTAACTAGTGACAGGAAAAGAAGAAATGGCCTCAAGGTGCCACATAGATAGGATTCAGGCATATTCCTATTCATACACTGACTCAATACAAGCTAATGTGCAGCCTCAGTGACAGAAGTGTCCAGACCACAGGAGCTCCTGGGCTCCAGCACAGCTCTTTTTTGATTTGGCTGAGCCACACAGCCCATTCTCTTCCCCAAAATGTAGACAGGACACAGCCAAACTGTGGCCCATGTAGTAGCTCATCAAGGCTTCCTGTACAACCTGTCAGTGCTGTGCCATGGGCGGAGTCCTTGCTGTACACATTTGGTTGGTCACCACCAAGGGACACAGATTTCAGCTTCCCCTCTGCAGAATTATTGAAAACTACAAGAGTTTTTGCCTTTTTGCTGAAAACATCTAGTGGAAAGCAAACATTGCTAATGCTGCCAGTTCCCATGGTTTTATTATAAATTCTGTACTTTTAATAAAAATAAAAAGTCATGTGTGCTGGAAGATAAATACTGTGTCTTGTTTATTTTATATATTTGCATATTTTATATATTTTATTACTGTATATATCCACAGATTTTACTTTATTAATTTACATAATCGCTTTCAAAGTATATATTTTCAGTTCTCACAGATCCTACGAACCTGATAAGGGAAAGATTAAAAATAGTTCCCTTACACCAAACTCATGAATGTCGCTTATTTTATAGTCGTTCTTGTTGGCGAGGCAGGAGTTTATTCACAGTTTTATGACACACTTGTTTCCTTGTAATGCTACTTTGATAGGGGTGTCTTACTGAAACATGAACAGCAATTTAATTAGTCCTATACCAGCTATCCTCATACTGAGAGAGGTCAGTGGCATGAAAAAAAATACCCACTATAGCCTGTGTGCCTTTAAGTTCAGTCCCATTAAATGATGCTCTCTTGCAGACCTATGAAATCAATTAGGAAGTACTTGCAAAGATAGCCAAGGAGAAACTGTTTAAATCCTTAATAGCTTAAATACCCCCTGTCTTGATGTCAGCCCTATAAAGCTATTAGAGCCCAGTCTGGATTGCATTAGCACTATGAAAGCCAACTACTAATCCTGTAACTGCAGTGCCTGCCTCTCCTCTCCCCTGCCCCTGCATCTGCGTGAATTGTTCCTTGAAGAGGTGACAGAACCCTCAGTATTGGCCTGACACTGAGGATGTATGAGGGAGAAGAGAATAATATTATCTAAAAGAAGTAAATATAGGAAATAGTTGATTTTTTTCCTTAGATAGTACAGCCATCCCTGGCACAACAGGGAGTAGAGTTTGCCTTTTTTGTTGTTTGTTTTTGAGTGATTTTTGCCCCAAGAAAGTCAAATTCTATCTGTCCTCATACTGAGAATATTTCATTAGTTTAAGACTACTTATGCCAGAAACTACTGTAATTTGAGGACATTTCCAGAGAACTTCAGGAGGTTCTGGATATGCCAAGGGAAAATTACATTGGAATATAAAGAAAAATAATTTTCTTTCTTCCTTGATGATTTTTTACAACAAAACATTTTTCAAACCCAGACTACATATACAAATTATATATTCATTGATTTTGCAAAGAAATTTCTTTATTCAGATTTTGAGTTTGGGATTTTTTTTTTTTTCATGTGATTTACTTTCAGATTTTGGTATAACTCTTTCCATTTTACACAGATAAAACTTGTCTTATAATTTTTTATTTTATTTGAAGGAGACTTCCAAACTGAACAATACAATTTTCTACTTAAAAAAAAAAAAAAAAAGAAAGAACCTTAAATACATAAAGGAATATTAAACAGGAAAATTGTCAGTAAGGAGCCAGATATGAGAGATGCCCGCAGATAAGATGGTGTGAATTTCCATCTGCTTTTCTGACAGACACAAGCCCAACTCAACCCAAACCCATACCAGAACAGAGAGATGAACAACTACAGAACATTAGGGAAATCCAGGTTTGGATCCAAATCCAGGCTCACCTGCTCCCCCCACACACTCCTCCATCTAACCCATATACAGTGATGTCACATTCCTCTAGGATCTGCTCACCTGTCTGTCCTCCAATCGTAGCAAACAGCCTGTGGGGAATCCTGGATGGGATCTTCAGTCCAGCTCTTATCTGGTAATACCTGGGGAGGAAGAATGAAAAATTACATGCTGATAGAGAAGTGATCACTTGATCCAACTTAAAAGTCTGTGAATGTTGGGCATCCAGTCTCAAAAGCATTCAAGAAAAATGGGCATACTCAGGAATACTGGATCTTTTCTTCTGCTTTTAGCTTTAACTAAAGTGGTTTTAATCTGGCCTCTCCTATTTTACAGCAGGCAGTGTGGACACAATGTGTGACTAAAGTGGAAAGATTGTGAAAAGCTTCTGACCTCCTGTAGGGAAAAGAGACATTGAGAAACATCTCTGATAAAAAGCAGTGAGATCAGACAAGGAGGGACAGAAATTTAATACAAAACAAAAAACAAACAAACAAACAAAAGAAAAAGAGGAAATTTCTGTGGAAAGAACAAAAGTGCTAATCTCTCATCTAGGACTACTTAAATTATGCATAGTCATTATCATTCTGCTGTTCCATGTTGAGGCTACCCCATCAAGAAAATATAAGTATTAATCACGTGCCCAGAGAGGGTGTGGAGTCTTCCTAACTGGAAATATCCAAGAATTGGCTGCAATGACACTGCTTGAGCAGGGTGGCTGGACCAGATGAACCACTGTTGTTCCTTCCAACCATGCCCATTCTGTTATGCTCTAAATCATATCTAAGCCAACTGTATTCTGGTTGTTTGGTATCCCAAAGCAGATAGATGTGTTAGATGAAAAAAGAGAAGAAAAGAAAAAATCAGCAATTTCACTGGCTTAAATTACACATGGAATCATAGAATCTCTTGAGTTGGAAGGGACCCACAAGCATCATCGAGTCCAAGGGATATGGCCCTGCACAGGATAGGCCAAGAATCACATTATGTGCTGAGAGTGTTGTCCAAAGTCTTCTTGAATTCTGGCAGGCTTGGTGCTGTGAACACTTCCCTGGGGAGCCCGTTCCAGTGCCCAAAATATGAGCTCAGTCTAAACAGAGAAAAAAACTTATCCCAGCCTTCTCTCATCACCACTTCCATGGATGAAGGATAAGAGGCAGTGTACAGTATATTGTACACGGTACATTGTAACTCAGGTTACCTTCACCTGTTTGCAGATTTCCCACTGACCTGCTGGAATACCATGTTGGTGTCAATCTCCCTTTCTCTGCGTTTTCCCTCCTTTGGTTTCTTTGTTTATAAATCTGTCATATCTCATAAGTATTTGCAGATGTTTTTAGACTGATTTTGTTCAAACCTCTAAATACAAAAATAAAGGTTACATTTTGACTTGTAAAGGTCTATCAAGCAACTAAACATGTTACAATGCTTAGCAGAATTATTTCCTTGGAAGACTGTATGTGAAATGAACAGTTAAAACTGGCTAAGAGAAAGGCTGAGGGAATTGGGATTATTCAGCCTGGAAAAAAGAAGACTTGATGGTGACCTAATTGGGGTCTTTCAGTACCTGAAGGGAGCCTAGAAGAAAGATGGAGAGAGACTATCTACAAGAGCTTGTAAGGACAGGACAAGGGGAAATGGCTTCAAACTGAGAATAGCTTTAGATTAGATATTAGAAAGAAATTCTTTGCTGTGAAGATGGTAAGGCACTGGAACAGGTTGCCCAGAGAAGTTTTGGCTGCCTCATCCCTGGAAGCGTTCAAGACCAGGTTGGATGGGGCTCTGAGCAACCTGGTCTAGTGGAAGGTGTCTTCGTCCATGACAGGAGGGTTGGAATTAGGTGATCTTTAAGGTCCCTTCCTACCCAAACCATTCTATATCTCTATGGAAACACTGTGTTTTATGTCAACTCCTGTATGAACAACAGCTCATACAGGTTATGCTTACCAATAAAATCTTTGCTGAGGGTGTCATAGTGGATAAACTAGATCTGTCTCTGCTAAGTAAAAAGGGGAAGAAAGGAGAGGTAAAAAAACCAAAACAATAAAACACCATTCCAGAGGTAGCTGTGTCACAGTCCTTCACAGCTGAAAGTCCACATTACTCTCTCTGACAGGTCCTTGCCAACTTGGATATAATTCCAGCACAACCTTTGGCATTTTTAGGTATCTGTTTTAGTCAAGAACTTGCACATGAAAACTCTCCATTTACATTTCAGTTTCAGAAAAGAAAATAAAAGCAGCTCAGATCCTAAATACACACAGTATCTAGTTAAACGTAACATCAACCAAATCTAAGCTGCCTGATCTTTTTCATCCTTATACTGTCTTTTCAGTATGCAGGAGTTTTTAATTGGTGACATTGCTCCTGATTTCTTCTACAGCAAGTACAAGAATTACACTTTAAGATCCTTTGAATTTTCATTACAGTTATATGCAATAAAATTTTGTAACTGACAAAAGTACCCTATTTAGACCACTCATAAAGCCTACTAACTTGCAAATAACAGTAACAGGGATATTAAAGTGGAAATGCACATTAATGTAACAGGGCATTCCTCAGAATGCAGATATGAAAGTTTTACTGTGTGCCTATTCCAATAGACTTATTCCAAATAATAACATCCTATAACTGTCTGGCCACTTCTTTTAGATTTTTGCTACTTGGGACTGTGGTGGGTTATCCTTAGCTAACAGCCAAATTCCCAACCACATGCTCTCTCACTCCCCTTCATCAACAGAATAGCAGGAGAAAATAGGCTGAAAAATAGGATGGGGCAGATCACTTACCAGTTAACTGTCACTGGCAAAACTGATTCAACTTGAGGGAAATTAATTAAATTTTTTCACAATTGGTTAGTAAGAAACAAACCCAAACATTAAAATTACACCTTCCTCCACCCCACTCCCTTGTCCCCACGCTCAGCTTCACTCTTTCTAAGTCCTCTCCTCCCAGGCAGCTCAGGGGGATTGGCAGTTACTGTCAATCCACAACAGCATGTCTCAGCTACTCTGTCTTCTTCATACACTCCCTACTCCAAAGTGGATGCTTCCACAGGCTGCATTTCCTTCAGGGAATATCAAGCTGGCTACTGCCACACTATAGTATTGTCAGCCTTCCCTCATCAGGTGTCCCATGTCCAGAAGCATCTCAAGCAGCCCTAAATACTTCCACTAGAAAACTGATTTCCAGTGGCTTGGCTGGTGTTTCAGATTAAGCCACCTAAATCTGGGGGAGACTACACATATGTGCCTCAGGTGACAGTTTCATATAAGGGAATCATAGAATCATGGAATGGTTTGGGTTGGAAGGGACCTTAGAAACCATCTCTTTCACACCCCCCTGCCATGGGCAGGGACACCTTTCACTAGACCATGTTGCTCAGAGCCGCATCCAACCTGGCCTTGGACACTGCCAGGGATGGGGCAGCCACAACCTTTCCAGGTAGTGATGACCAGACAGTCAAAACTCTCATCAGACTTAGAGACATTCAGCTCCTAAGAGGATACTGGGAAGAACTTTGCTTCAGTCATCGTCCAGACTAAAACTGCTCACTACAGTACTACCTTGGATATCAAAGGCACGTGAAGATACCTCAGTACTGGTGACTACATAACGAGGTTAGTTCCAACCTTCATTATGCCCTTTGCAAAATGTATTTTGCAAAAAGGGTCTCCATCTTGTTTTAACCATTCCCTGTTCATCCCTTAAATTTTGGTAAATTCATTTGAATGTCACAGATATTCTAGAAGTCATAAAAAGGCATCTTCCTATGTACCCACCACATTTAACTGCTCAAAACAAAAAAAAGAAATAGAAAAGTCATAGAAACCTAAGGAACTCTCAGTCTAAGATCAAACTATAAGTTAAAAGTCCAGATGTAAAGGGAATCTGGACACTAGTAAGGTCTGTAATATTAAGGATTGCCACAAAAAATGACACTCATGTTTTATAGGTAGCCAAACATGTTTTAATTCTTTAAAAAAAAAATACACTAATCAGTTATTAATAAATGATTTATTAATAAATGAATTATTGCTGATTGTTTGGTATCAGACCCAAAAGGTCTGGCCTTGATAACACAATGGTGTAAAGCAATTCTGGTATAAATCATTATGGAATTAAATGCTGATTTTTTAAAGAAAGACTTTAGAGAACAGTCCCATACCCAGAAGACACAAGAGGCTTCTAAATATCCTGTTGTTGTTTCAAGTATGCATAAAAGTGCATTGCAAAGACTTGCATCTCAAGGTAGTGACACTGGTGGTCAGTTGGATTAATGGCAGAGAAGGACAGTGATGTAGAGAACTTCAGATCAAAGACCTAAAAAACCTGAACACATCCTCATTTGATTTTCACCAGACTTTTTGTTTTCCAGTTAACATAAAACCCATTACCTGTTTTTTGGTTGTTGGTTATTGTGGGTTTTTCTTCTCCTATTTTTAAGGCACATGTCAATATTTAAATCATTAATCAGGCAAATACTATCCATTCCTCCTCAAATATTATCCATTCCTCCCTTTTCCTCTGACCATTTGAAGGCAGTGAGAGACTGTCAAACAGTGACTTTCTAAATACAAAAATCAAAGAAAAAACAAAGGTTTTTGCTCTCACACTGAAGCTGGATGTTACTTCATAGTAGCTTGTGCATGGTGAAGAGGGTTTTGCTGATCGAAACACAGACCATTGCAAGACGCAGAGTCCTGATTTCTTCAGAGTACTGCTGATTTCTTCAGCAGTAAACACAGACAGGTATCTCCACTTCCCCATCCCCCTGTCCTACACACCTCTGGGTTGTGCCAGTATGAGTGACAGCGAGACCAAGATATAAAACAAAGCCAAGTTAATGTGAGTGTAAATAACAAAAAAAAAGGACTCTTAAGATCTGGTTATTGAGAGATGCCTCTGCTCAAATTAAGGTGCAAATGAGACCATATGACTGTAAGTCAATAATATGGATTTTGCTTAACAACGAATGTGAGGTACAGAGATAGAAAGAAATGAAAAAGAATGTGGAGAGAGATATCAAGAAGAAGATAGTCACTGCCTGTGGATCTAACAGCATCCCAATCTCCATCCTGGACTTCTCAGGGGTGGCGGTCCCAAGATCGTTCAAAACTTTTCACTGCTTATGCATTTTTTC